ATCTATTATTGCTGCGAGGCAGCTAGATGTAAAGTTGGGCAGGTCTAGGTGATGAATATGCCCCAAGCTAAAATTCACTCCCATGTTTAAAGCCAGTTTTTATATCCCTAAATGTTCCCACCCATCTTGTTATCGACATTTTACTATTTATAGGCATGCACTCTCTCTTTGCATCTCTTTTCACATTTTCCATCAGAGCTTCCCCTAGTCAGCCTGGTTCTCACTTGCATTATCAACCTTTGTCTTATACACTACTTCTCTGCTTCATCTTAGGCTAATTCTCTGTCATTATGCAAGAAACGCTGGCTTTCATTGCTCTTTCTTTCCTCCTTCTGGCAAACGTACCTCAACTGCAACTGAACTATCCCTTTAAAGACAGCCTACTGTTCCGGTACAGTTTTCCATTGCATCCTGCAGAACAAATTCAAATATAAACTGTAGTAAAAAGCGACTGGATCAATGACTGAAAGAGATCTATTTTTAGCTGCTTGAGTAAATTAGCCCAGCAAGGGAGATGTAGAATTTAATGAAAGTGACTAATTACTTTCTATTGATCAATTTTCTTTTGAAATAAAGAATTTGAACAAATACTCAATTTTTAATAACGTTCCGAAAGAAAGAACTGGCTTTTAGATGGTCCCTTTCTGACACTCAGGATAATCAGCGCTTCAAAGCAAGAGTTACTTTTGGGTTAGCAAGAACTGCAGGTGCTGAAGTCAGAGATAACACAGTGTGGAGCTGGAGGAACACAGCAAGTCAGGCAGCATCAGAGGATCAGGAAAGAAGGGTCCTGACCTGAAATGTCAGCTTTCCTGTTCATCTGATGCTGCCTGGCCTGCCGTGTTCCTCCAGCTCTACACTTAGTTACTTTTGGGTGTTGTTATGCCTCACTGGGGGTAGATCGTTGGAAATCAAGCACTACCCAACTATTTCCAAAATCATCACAAAAGTTAAAGATATGAAAGAAACATGTAAAAAATCCCCAGTTTATCTGATTTTCAAACCCAGGTTGACAGAGAGCATAGACCAAGTTTCTGTACTTAACAATTATTACTTATCACAAGTAAATCAACACTAGCTATAGGTCACAAGGGGCAGAGTCCAAGAGGACTCAACCAATGCAGGGTTATGTCTATGCTACTCATGCAATCCATGGATGCAGCTCAAACAGGTTAGTTGAGAGAGGAACGATGCTGAGGTCATTTGGACAACTCTCTGAAAAAGAATCATGAGTTTCTTTCATTCACCAGAGCAGTCAAATGGGATTTTGGTTTAGCATTGCATCAGCAAAGAACATGCTACTTGTGACATCCAATACATCAGTGAAATTGCAGAGATGTAAAATGGGCTCTTGGCTTGCTATCATCCAATTTGTGCTATTGAATAACATCAGGAATGGAGACTGTGAGGTGGGAAGTATTTGTAATCACTGTCCAAGCTAAGTTGATAATTTGTAGTAGGATATAAAACAAAAGAGCTGGAAAATTTCTGCTGATCTGGTAGCATGGAGAGAGGGAAACAGTGTTAATAGTTTGAGTTAAATAAGACTCTTCTTCCATAGACTTAAACTTGACTTGAAACAGTAACTTGAGTTACTATGCACAGATGTTGCCAGAACTGGTGAGCATAATCTTACAGGGCTGTGATGTGGTCTATGGCAAGATGTTTGGCAGAATTGGACAACAAATACAGTGAGGTCCATCTCAGTGTCAGAGGCAACTCACTCCATCTTTCGGGCTTTTCACAGGCAGCAAGTTAAATGCCTTGTTAACAATAAAACTCGCCTCAGCAGCCTCCCACTATATCCAATTCTCCAAACAAAATTCAACAAGAAATCCAGACTGTGTACCTGGCAGATTTAGTTGCCACGTACTCCAATGTTGCCTATAACCAAACCATAAGCCAGGGCATAGGCCCCTTGTCCAGGGATTTGACATTAAGTATCTGCTAATCCCAAACAACCATCCTGGCATTTCTCTGACAGAGCTTTGGAAGCACACACTTGCATTGCAGAGCGCACTGGCAACTAACAGTGAAAAGCTTTAGCAGGAACATTTTGCACACAGGCACCCAGCTTGCAGACTGGACTCAGCTGTATCTCAGGGCTGCTTTCTCTAATCTCACTCATTTAGTGCCTACCTGTATGCTCGCTGTATCCATGTCTTGCCTTGCCTTTCAATTAGTGCAGTCACAAAAACGGTCAGCTTGTGATGTGGGTCAGCAGTCCTCAGTCTAGCGGACACACATCTTGTAGAATGGCACTGTGTTTTATCAATTGCTCACCTGCTCCATGTGCCAGCTGCTTACATGGCAAACGCACTACACGTTCAGCAAGCAAGCAGCAATGCGTCTAACTCCAAGGAGACTTGTGCTCACTACGTCCAAAGAGGCACCTGTCAGCCAGAGGATCCTGGCACAACATGTCAAAGGCAGCCTCCCGTGCCAGTCAAAGGCATGGGCCATGGTCAAGCGTCCACTTGGAGTTTCAACAGTCATGGTATCCATGCCTCTGCTGTCCAGGGTCATGGTCAGTCTGCCACAGTGGCCAGTTGGAGGGGTATAACTAATGCGGTCAGGGAGATGTTTAGCATCGGTCAGGAGTCTGGGTACGTCTTGTGCAGGCTGTCTGGTCATGTCAGTCAAGGGGGTGGTCCATGGACAGTGTTGGGTCCGTCCCCAGAAACTAACGGGGAATGGGAGGAGTAGTGGTTGGTGATGAGTGTGGCTGGTACCCTAGGACTAAGCCTCAGCAGGTTACTCTCTGACACTAGGGCCTTCAGACGTTGGGAGGGCACACTACTCTCTATCTCCTTGAGAGGAGGGGACACGTGGAATGACTTTTGACATGCCTTCGTTCCTGAGGACCAATGACTAGGGCAGTACTATCTGTTCCTCCGCACCCTAGACATGGCACTGGACATAGCTGACAGTGTTTGGTGGCAAGGCTTCCTCTGCCAGTCCTCAGAGAAGAGGCCGCCTCTCCTCTGTATCCCTTTGTCCACTGGGACCTCTAAATCTACATGGAAAAATCACAGTGCCACCTTCTCCTTCTTTGCCATATTACGATTCTGCCCTCTAGCAGGGCAGCTTTAGAATGCCAGAGCTCATTGATAGTACAGCAGCCTTTTAAAGATGGTGCATACTCTAGGGATGCCAGTCTTTCTGCAGATAACCGCTGGGTAGTGAGTTGTTCAAGGAATGGTGTGTGTAAGTTGGTGTGTAAATCAGATGTGAGAGATGCCTTAGGAGTATGGCAGGTAATTAATGAGGTGAGTTTTTGTTGTTTACTCTTAGGACATGAGCACTGCTGGCTGGCCAGCATTTATTGCCCATCCCTAGTTGCCCTTGAGAAGGTGGTGGTGAGCTGCCTTCTTGAACGTCTGCAATTCACCTGCTGTAACCTGACCCATAATGCTCTTAGGGAGAGAATTCCGGGATTTTGATCCAGCGACACTGAAGGAACTGCGATATATTTCCAATCAGGATGGTGAGCGGCTTGGAGGGGAACTTGCAGGTGATGATGTTTGGTAACGTACAGCGATAAAGCACATTAGGCCTTATGATGAAAATTTCTCCAAAAAACTCAATGCAACTCACAATTAGCCAAAATAAAAATGTAAATACAGCCTTAAAATATTTTGACTAAGTCTGAGTTGCGTTGAGTTTTTTGAAGGGCTGCTGATTGCAAAGCTGAGCGGGTTTCCCCACTGTATATTAGCAAACCGGACAAATTCATTGCTGTTTCCACCCCTACGGTGTGTAGCGTACGGCCAGAGGAACGGCCTGCCATGCTGAAAGAAAGTCAATGACCTGTCCTTGCCACCACACTCACTTCCCACCAAGGCTCATACTCTGACTCCTCCTCCTTTGTATGTAACACCTTCACTCACTCGCTCTGGTTAACCCCATCCTTCAACACCACCAAGGCCTCCTTGCTGCCTCCTCATTCCCTCAGAATATCTCAACACCTTTCCCCTACATGATGACCATGAAACCATTACTAATTGCTGGAAAATCCC